CGACACAATATACGTATGATATATAAAGATGATTTATTGAGCACTCGAACGGCGCGGGTGTAGAATTGTATGTGATTATGTATGTATGTATGTAGGAAGAGTGTAATGGTATGTATGTAGAATCGAATGTGTATGTTGACTCGCGTGTACCGGAATGTACGGGGGTGGGTAGAATACTGAGCTTAGCTTAGCGGCCGGCTACTACGGCTGCTGCTACTTTCAACAAATACCAAAAGCATAAGCACACTAAAAGGTCATGTCTTAAGGCAGCCAATAACATTGGAAAAGAAGTGTGTAGATTCGGTATTCCATACCCTCCAATGCCCCAAACGGAGATATTAAGTCCACTGCCGGAGGAAACTCCAAACCTTGATTTTCACCGAGGAAACTTTAAGAAAATTCAAGACCTACTAAGTTCTAATCGATCCCCTGACATGATTGATCTCTTGAGCATATTTGAGAATTTTCTTTCGCACGAAAAAGTGAGCCTCAACTACAAGGACTACAAATATGCACTATGTTCTGGTTTAAAGAAACCAAAAATGTGTCTAAAGAGGTCATTTGCTGAGATTTGCATCAATGCTTATAATAAACACATTCCTTCAATGCAAAGGGCCAATATGGATATCCAATAGATTTATATATTATAGCCGTATATTGTTGTGTAGCTATTGCATTGTCCGGAACTAGCAACAAAAGTGTTCAAATAATACTTTCCCCCCAGAGCAACGAGTTCGAATGCTCAAATCCACAAACATCCTACAAAATATGAATCAGGATTCCACTGACATATTCGTCAAAGGATTGCTGGAGCGGTAGACTAGATATTTTAGAGGGCCTGTGTTTAACCGATTTTGCAGAAAATTATGAATTTTCCAAAATCCGGAAAAGAGCTAGCCAAAATGACGATGAGGAGGACTAAGAAAATGAGGCCATAGTATATGTTTTTATCCCTCTCCGCGATGGTAGTGGTTTTATGAGGGCACGTAGCAAGCCCTCTATTATTAAATATTTTAAGTTTAATATAAACACAGATAGGTCGAACTATTTTAGAGCATTAGTAATGCTGTTTTTTCCGTGGAGAGGTGAAGAGTTAGAGCTGATAGGAAAAAATTGCGAGGATGTTTATAGGGACCATCAAGAATTAGTTAGGTTGAACTTCCAGAAGTTCAATGCACTAGCAGACTTAGAAGACGTGCTTAGGAGGGCCATGGAGGACGAAGCCAATAGGGTGGAAAATGTAGACGAAGAGGCAGTTGATCAGGAAATCGATGAGGATGTTCTGAACTTGAATAACCAGGCAACGGATCCAGATAGGAGTATTCGACTAGTTAAGCTTCCTCCGATTGTTTCCCTTTCATGTTTAGGCAATTTAATTCGATCGCTTAATTTGAAGCAAAAAACTTACCTCACACATGTTTTGCATAATGTGAGGAATACGTCAATTTTTTATGAATTTGTAGGCGGCGCAGGCGTCGGCAAAAGTAGAACAATATCTTCAATCTTTCAGACCATTTCCTGGGAATTTATTCGTAGGCCAGGATCTAACCCATATACTGTTAAAGTAATTCTGTGTGCTCCCACAGGAAAAGCTGCATTTGGTATTGGAGGTGCCACACTTCACTCAATGTTTTTTGTTTACCTCTAAATCAATCAAATCATGCTTTTAAACAATTGGGTCCAGATTTATTAAATACCTTGCGTTCAAGATTTATTGTTCTTAAAATTCTAATAATTGACGAAATTTCTATGGTCGGTGAAAAAATGTTCTCATATTATATGCGCATATGCGCCTAAAGCAAAATTTTTCAAGGTCCTTTTGTCGGCATTTCTGTTATCGTGTTCGGCGATCTAAGGCAGTTATGTCCAGTAGGGGATCGATGGATATTCGAATCCTCATCAGGAGTGTTTAATCCATACAGTGCTATTGTTGGCTCTAGTCTCTGGGGTAGCTTCAAGTTTTTCGAACTTACAGAGATTATGCGACAGCGAAATGACCAACATTTTGCAATCGCACTAAATAACATGGCATCGGCCGAAATGACGTCTGAATAGAATAGTTGACGGCTGTCCAGCACCAAGAGATGCGATCCACTTATTTTATAGCAATAACGAGACAGATTGGTAACGTAGGGAGAAGCTATCGTCGATTACGACTGCAGAATATACTTCAATAGCTTAACACTGCATCAAAGCCGAACATCTTAGCTCAGAGATTAAAAGTATATATCTTGAGGCTGTCAAGAGTTTTAAAACTTCATGTACACAAGTGTTGAAAGTAGCAGCAGCGAGTTAGCAGCGGGCTGTTGTTAACTGCCGGAGCTTGCTCAAGCTCTCACTCCCTACGCTCTCGCGAGCTGGCGGGCAGCCAGCCGCTAAGCTAAGTTCAGTTTCCCTACTCACCCCCGTACATTCCGGTACAAGCGAGTCGACATACTAAGTTATACTCTACATACACACTTCCAATTTCATACCAACAATTCTACACCCGCGCCGTTCGATTGCTTAATAAACCGCCTGTACATACATAGTATCGAATATACTGTGTCTCTTCATTTCGGGACGCTTGGACTTTCCGAGGAGTTTATCTGCAGCGACTGGAAGCCGCCCTCCTACAAACACGAGGTTTGTGTACTTCATTGGTTCTCAAAACCACGGCTAAGTATATGACAGTCAATGTAGATACACCAGATGGCCTTGTTAACGGAGCCACTGGTGTTTTATTACAGATAGATATCAACTCATCCAATACTCCCCAACTTCTTTAGATACATTTTCTCGAGGAAAGCGTAGGAGTTGAACGCACTGTCGAAACGTACCCATAGTAACGAGTCTTCATGGACACCAATTCAGAAAACTACAATGAGTTTTCAATATCACCAAATCGAACAAGTTACTATTGACCGTAAACAGTTTCCGGTTGTAGCTGCAGAAGCTATAACTATTCATAAAAGTCAGGGAGCTACATATAGCAAAGTTGTCGTCCACACTTCCTCCAATATAAAAAGAGAAGCATTGTATGTAGCTTACAGTAGGGCCACCAGTGCGAATGGACTTTATATTGTTGGGCCTTTCATTCCCCCCAGGCCCAAGCAGAATTGTCTTGTAGCGAAAGAGATGGAGAACTTACGTTCCACTAAGTTACTTCACACCCACTTCGATTTTTTACTCAATCCGTCCGAGTTTAATATTTTCTTCCATAATACGGAAAACTTGCACTGCCATTTTAGCTATGTCTGTTCTGATGAGCTAATGCTCATATCTTCAATTTTTGCTTCGTTGAGGCTTCCACTTACTCAAATGAAGCTTATAATATTCCTGGCTGTTCCACAGCAGCGGTTAGATTGCCAGTCCGTAACCAGCGGAGCTTGACCAAAAAGAGGCATTATAATATTTGTTAGGAATGAACTTTTAGCTCATTTTAGTACGGTTGCAACTAATCGATTTTATGCTGTTTCCGGAAACATTGCATATCCAGTTTTTGAGTATGCCTTGATGAAGTACAAATCTGTCGGACTTATTGCTATTTATAGAACCTCAAGCTATCCGTTGTCGAAGTTCAAGCAAGAATTTGAGGACTTATTTCAGCGTAATCAGTTTTTAGGTAGCAATTCTTTAGTGTTATGAGATTTTAATTTATGTCTGCATTCAATTTCAGGTTGCTGTAGGGAAATTTATGAATTCCTTTCAGAAAGGAATTTTAGGTCATTGTTAGGTTTGGTTTCGTCCACTACCAATTGCGATACGCATATTGACTGGGCGGTTTCAAACACTTCCGATAGCAGGGCCACCGCGCGCAGCTATGAGACTACCTATAGTTATCATAGTGGAATTTTAGTCAATATTAGAGAGACAGAAGAGTAGAGTTAGGCAGTGTAAATATTTAATTTTGGTAAATGTATTATTAATTATAATTACTTTTTACTTTTATTACTTTTATTCTGTAGTTTTAATTGAACTTTATATGTTGTAACGAACCCTTTTTCCGGGTCTCGTGACCTGTGCTGGGCTGACTCAGCGGGAAATTGGGTGGTTGCAACGAATTTATATTGTTGCCTCGACGACCAAGTAAAAAACACAGGATTGGTTTATTTCTGACAATTGGGGTTTTATTCAATATTAATCTCTATCGCTTAGCCTAGCTTATGGCTATGTTACCGCTATCTTGTGACCTGTCGATTTCGGACGGTTGGCTCCGGGCGTTGCACGTTGGTGCCGCTGAACTGGGGCAAGTGATCTTAATCCGCCACACCAATTCCGCACTCCAACGGTTCGCCTTTCTCTACCTTAACCTCGTCCGAAAATCTGTTGTTCACTCCGATTATGCAAGACTCACTCTGGGCATTCGATGTCGCGGGTCCCGTTACGATTTCCGCTATTATGCACTTCGATCCACTTAATCACCCGAACACTCGGCCTAGCTCTTGGGCTGCTCACGCGTGAAGCTTTTTTTTGCTTGGCGGCCACCCTCCTTATATAGGCGCCGGCTAACGGTTCTAACACGCGATCAGTGTTTTTCCATCGGCGATTCTGATGCTTTCTCCCTTCTTCGTAACTGGACCCCGATTACATGGCCATATTTGGGCATGCGTTGGTCCGCTGCCGGCCCGATCCCATCCTTCCACTCTCTTCTGCGCCGCCGTCTCGGGCTCCCAGCTCTCTGGGCGTCTCTTCCCAAATTACCATATTTGGTCATGCGTTCGTCCGCTGCCGGCCCGATCCCATCCTTCCCCTCTATTCTGCTCCGCCGTCTTGGGCTCCCCGCTCTCTGAGCGCCTCTTCTAAATTCGCCGTGTTCGGATATCCGAGCCCCTGGCTTTAACAGCTCTACGGCCTGTGAGGGACACGTTCCCTCACACTCCCCTCTTTCTTCGAGAAGCGGAGAACCTTGGTTTTCCGCTGACTCGGCGCGCCGCTCTTGCCTGCGCGCGCGCAATTCAATTGATGCCGGTCCCCGTTACGATTTTCTATTCATTTATTTATTTTTTTTTCTCATTGTTTTATTCCGCTCGTCCCGAATGTTGATCCCGGAAGACCGCTGTCCCCGCGGCTGACGTCGTGACCCGGTAGCGGACGCCGCGTTCCGTCACCAGCCTGTTGGTGCGCCGGCCCGTCAGCCTCGCACCGGCCTGTGCGCGGACCACGGACTCGGGCCAATCCTTGGGCTCGAGCAGTGTCCATCGGCGCGCCGCGGGCTCCGACGTCTGTCGTTGGAGCGTCGGCCGATGTCCTCGTTGCGGTTCCGGGCACGAGGCTTGTCGCCTGAACGGTGGGACCGGTGGTGCCGCGTCTGCTGTCGGCCGCTTGAGCGTTGGTGCCGGTGGTGCCGGCTCTGGCCACAGCCACGGCCCCCTCTCCCCTGTCTCCGAGGCCTCGGCCGCGCTCTCAGCCCGTGGCTCCACCGCTGGTCGCTGATCCGCCTGCTCTGCCCTCTCCTCCCGTGCCAGGGCCTCTGCCCGCAGGATCGCCGCAGCCGCCCGAAGCACCCTCAGTGCCTCTGGCACCTCTGGCCCTGCCTCCGCTGCCTCCGGCCCCGCTGCCTCCGGCTCCGCTGCCTCTGACTCCGCTGCCTCCGGCTCCGCTGCCTCCGGCTCCGCTGCCTCTGGCTCCGCTGCCTCCGGCTCCACCTCCCTCGGAGCCTGTTTCGGCGCCTCTTCCGCCNGGTTTTCCGCTGACTCGGCGCGCCGCTCTTGCCTGCGCGCGCGCAATTCAATTGATGCCGGTCCCCGTTACGATTTTCTATTCATTTATTTATTATTTTTTTTTTTCATTTTTTTTTATTCCGCTCGTCCCGAATGTTGATCCCGGAAGACCGCTGTCCCCGCGGCTGACGTCGTGACCCGGTAGCGGACGCCGCGTTCCGTCACCAGCCTGTTGGTGCGCCGGCCCGTCAGCCTCGCACCGGCCTGTGCGCGGACCACGGACTCGGGCCAATCCTTGGGCTCGAGCAGTGTCCATCGGCGCGCCGCGGGCTCCGACGTCTGTCGTTGGAGCGTCGGCCGATGTCCTCGTTGCGGTTCCGGGCACGAGGCTTGTCGCCTGAACGGTGGGACCGGTGGTGCCGCGTCTGCTGTCGGCCGCTTGAGCGTTGGTGCCGGTGGTGCCGGCTCTGGCCACAGCCACGGCCCCCTCTCCCCTGTCTCCGAGGCCTCGGCCGCGCTCTCAGCCCGTGGCTCCACCGCTGGTCGCTGATCCGCCTCCTCTGCCCTCTCCTCCCGTGCCAGGGCCTCTGCCCGCAGGATCGCCGCAGCCGCCCGAAGCACCCTCAGTGCCTCTGGCACCTCTGGCCCTGCCTCCGCTGCCTCCGGCCCCGCTGCCTCCGGCTCCGCTGCCTCCGGCTCCGCTGCCTCTGGCTCCGCTGCCTCCGGCTCCGCTGCCTCCGGCTCCGCTGCCTCTGGCTCCGCTGCCTCCGGCTCCACTGCCTCCGGCTCCGCTGCCTCTGGCTCCGCTGCCTCCGGCTCCACCTCCCTCGGAGCCTGTTTCGGCGCCTCTTCCGCCGCGCTGGCCTTTACCCCACTCGCGCCCGCCGTGCTCGCCGCCGGTCTCCGCCTTGGGTCGCGGCTGTTGCTGTGGGGTGGCGCCTCCTCCCATACCCGCGCCTCCTCTGGGTCCGTGTCCATCGGCGCAGGCCCCGAGGCCCAGGTAATGTGCAGCGTTTGGTGGTGCCACACCATCCCCTCGCGCACCGCCGTTCGCACCTCCTGGGACACAAACGGACCGATCACGGCTCCCTGTGGACCCTGCCAGCCGGGCCCTGGTTGTCGAGGCTGTTGCTGTTGTTGCTGCCGCTGCTGCTGCTGCTGCTGCTGCTGCTGCTGACGCTGCTGCTGCTGCTGATGCTGCTGCTGCTGATGCTGCTGCTGCTGATGCTGCTGATGCTGCTGCTGCTGCTGACGCTGCTGCTGCTGCTGCTGATGCTGCTGCTGCTGATGCTGCTGCTCCAGTGCTGTCGGCACCCCCTGCGCCGCTTCCGTGGCCCCTTCCATGGGCTCTCCTGCTCCCCACATGGCCTCTTCTTCCTCCTCGGCTTGCCGCAGCCGCTCCTCCCAGCTCACGCACTCATTGTGCACTCGGTCGTTGGCGTAGGTGTGGGCGTAGGTGTGGGCGTGGGTGTGGGCTCCCTCCTCCTCTTCGGTGACGGTGGGCCTGCCTCGTGTTCCCTTCTCCGCACTCGGGCCTCCCGCTCCACCAGGGCCTTCTCTCTGGCCTCCACCCACCTTTCCTTCACCGCGATGTTCCTTAGGAGGCACTGGGTACGGCCCTTCGCCTCCCTCTTCAGCACCCGAGCCTCCCGCCCAGTCAGCTCCTTCTCTTTGGCCATCGCCCACTTCTTTTTCGCGACAATGCCCTCCAAGAAGTTCCGGGTGCGGGCCCTCTCCTCAGGTGTGAGGAAGTTCCAACGGTCCCTCACGGTTCTGGGTTCCCTCGACGTCTCTCCGTATTTCGCCCCGCCGTGCCTCCACTCCTCCGCCTTGCGCACCTGGCGCCTCAGCTCCCCTTGTTTGGGTGCCGGCTGCCAGTCCACGATGACGACGTCATCCTCGCTCTCGCTTTCCACCGGCGACACCACCGGGCTTGCCGTTGAGCATGCCGATGGAGCAGGCGAAACGTAAGGCGACGCCATTACCTGCAGCACGGGAGAGTTACTTCGCCGACCGCACTCGTCTCCACGCATGGGCACGGTCGCCTCATGCTGACGGTGCACGTCGACGTCGTAGTCTCCGTACCGCAGCCGTTCCTCCTGGTCCTCCACAAATTTCTGCACGTGTGCCATTTTTTTGCTTTTATATTTCTTTTTTTTTTTTTCGCTGTGGTCGATCGCTTACCGCGTGTGTTCACAAAGTGCCGGTCCGGCCCTTAATCTCCCCTATTTATGCTCTCGTTGCACTCCCACTCGTTCCGGCTAACGGTACATCCCTTAGTGGGCCTGGCCTTCATGGACTGGTGAGTGTGTCCTGCGCGGCACCCCTCCTTTACTTTTATAAGTATTTTAAGGTCAGCTTCATCCTGCGTGATGGCCTTTCCCTTCATCCCTACTTCGGCTGGGGCTTCAGGTCTGCCAGGTGGGCCGTCCGAACATGCCCATCACTATCTCTCTTCATCTGGCAGATCACTGGCGACTTAAAGTCGACCACCCGGTACGGCCCGGCATACCTCGGCGCCAACTTGGCCGCGAATCCCTCCGCTGCGTTCGACAGATGGTGCTGCCGCACCCATACCACATCTCCTATCTGTGGCTTCCACTCCCGTCTCCTCAGGTTGTAGTGCCTTGCCTGATCTTGGGCCGCCCTCTCCAGATTGCGTCGCACCAACTGGAAAATTTCCCTCAATTTCGATGCATTTTCCTCGGGCGTTCTCGGCCCCTGTCCTGTTCCTAGGGCTCCCTCGTCGTACAGCGCGTTTGGCAGTCGGGGCTCTCTTCCTTGTACGATGTACGCTGGAGAATAGCCCGTTGACTCTGCCACGCCTGTATTCACAGCTAGCATCAGCTCTGGCCATTTCTCATCCCAGCACCGCTGATCACCCTCCGTGAACTGTGCGATCATCGTTTTCACTGTACGGTTTGTACGTTCCGTCGGGTTCTCTTGGGGTGTGTATGGCGCGGTGAATTGCTGTCTGACCCCCATTTCCCCCAAGAACTTCTTGAACACGCGGCTTGTAAATTGTACTCCGTTGTCGGTGATCATCACCTTTGGCACTCCAAATCGAGCCAAGATTCTTTCGCGGACTGCCTTCACCAGCGCTTCCGCAGTGGCTTTCCTCAACGGTACCAATTCGGTCCATTTGGAGAAACGATCCACTAACACCAACAGCATTGCGTTCCCATGCTTCGATCTCGGCAGCGGTCCCACGAAGTCCGCACACACTGTTGCCCATGGCTCTTCTGGGACCTGGGTCAACATTTTCCCAGCTGCCCGTACCTGGCATGGTTTGAAACGCAGGCAGGTTTCGCACCTTCTCACGTATGCCCTCACGTCCCGGTACATCCCTGGCCAATAATNCACACTGTTGCCCATGGCTCTTCTGGGACCTGGGTCAACATTTTCCCAGCTGCCCGTACCTGGCATGATTTGAAACGCAGGCAGGTTTCGCACCTTCTCACGTATGCCCTCACGTCCCGGTACATCCCTGGCCAATAATACCTTGCGGCAATTCGTGCCATGGTCTTCCGACCGCCTGCATGCCCAGCCCCTGGGGAGTAATGATTCTCCCTGAGAACCTGTTCCCGTAGATTCGTGGGGACACACAGCTTCCACGCCGCCACCTCCTCGTCTCCGGCGCGGTGGGGAATGTTTCTGTAGATTCCACAACCCTCCTCTACATAATCAGGGAATTTTTCCGGTTCCTTCTTCATCCTCTCCTTCACTTTTCGGATCCATCGGCACCCTTCGCCGATATCCGGCTCCCCTTCACTGCCTTCTTCATCCTCTATCCGTAGGCATCGCTCGGCCACGGGCTGCCTAGACAGTGCATCCGCCACAACATTGAGCTGCCCCTTCCGGTACGTCACCTCGAAGTCGTACTGCTGTAGCTCTAGNCGCCGCCTGTCGTTCTTCGCTCCACTCCCATTTGGTCTTTTTCTTCAGCAACGCGGTTAGCGGCTGTACCAACGACGCAAAGTCCGGCACGAAGCGTCGATACCACGAAGCCACCCCCAAATACTGGCGTAATTCCTTCACGTTTGCAGGGGGTTTTAGTTCGGCTATTGCCGCCACCTTCTCAGGGTCGGTGCAGATTCCATCTGCCGTCACCTTGTGGCCCAGATATCGCAGCTCCCTTCGGAAGAACTGGCACTTCTCTGCATTCAGTCGCAAATTGGCTTCTCGGAGCCTTCGGAACACCTCCTTCAGATTTTCCTTGTGCTCCTTCTCTGTTCGTCCGATGACAATAATATCGTCTTGGTACGCGAACGCGTGCGGCATCATCTCAGGGCCGATCACCTGATCCAAAGCCCGCTGAAAGGTGGCCGACGCGGAGTGCAGTCCAAACGGCATCACCTTCCATTGGTACAGCCCCTTGCCGGGCACAGTAAATGCGGTGACCTGACGGCTTCGCTCTTCCAGCGGAATCTGCCAATATCCGTCCTTTAAGTCCAAACTGCTTATGAAACGGGCTTCCCTGAGCTAGTCCAATATGAAATCGATCCTGGGCATGGGATACGCATCCTTCACTGATTTCGCGTTCACCTGGCGGAAATCCACGCACAGCCTCCACTGGCCAGTCTTCTTTCTCACCATCACGATGGGTGAGCTGTACGGGCTCTTGGAGGGTTCGATGCACCCCAATTCTAAAAGCTCATCCACTTTTCGGTTTATCTCTGCTTGCATCTTGGGGTTTTTCGGGTAGTATCTCTGTTTAATCGGTCGCGGATCACTCATGGTGATCGTATGAACCGCCACATTAGATACTCCCTTGAGTTTCGAAAATCCCTCCAACTCGCGAGCCAAGAACTCTTCCGTTGACTCTTCCTGGCCCCCTTTTGTCTCGGCTTCCACCGGGATCAAATCCGCTGTTCTAGCTCGGATCTCTTCCTCCTCCGGCCTGAGCATCCCACTACCGCTACCGACAGCCTTTCTTCCGTGCCTTTTTGCACTCGATCTTGGGCAGGAATCACCACCCTGTGGCCCGCACAGGTCATCTCTGCCCCGACCGCTTGGAGGAAATCCCAACCCAACACCAATTCGTCAATGATTCCCGGCAGAATCAGCAGCGCCATCTCAATCTCCCGGCACCCGAATGCCACCTTTACCTTGCGTTGGCGAGTCACCTCCTGACTGTGGCCATCTGCCAGCCGCACTCGCTTCCTCACCGCAACCTCTCTCCCCCGCCCCTTCACCTTTTCGGCCAACTCTGATGAAGCTGATGAAGCTGCTGGTGGCTCCCGTGTCCAGCGTTGCCCGCCACTCCGTTCCTCCGATGGCCACGGCGGCTGACAGCTGGGCCTCCTCGCTTCTCAGTCCTCCGACTAGGTTGTGGGGGCGGTTTCTTGCGACACGGGCACGGCCCTCCGCGGCTGGGGTCGCGGGGCGTTTCCCGCTTTCCGGCAGCACTCCCGCGTCGGCATTCCCACCTTCCCGCACATCCAGCAGTACGTGAGGGGCCGAGCTTGGCACTCTCTTGACCAATGCTCCCCGCTCCCACACCTTCTGCATGCCTGTTCCGGGTTCTGAACGTACCCGTTCACAATAGCCGTCGTCTGAGCCGGCAACGCTGCCCGCGTCCCTTCTGTGCACCGACGGCACACTTCTGCTCCCGCCGGCTTGCTGAACGGATTTGCGGCTCGCGCCCTTATGACCGGATTCTCCCGTTGGAACTCCTCGCGATCTCTCTCTAGTGCCTCGAATTCGTCTGCCAAAACCATCATCGACTCCAAATCGCGGCATCTATGCGGTCGCATGTACGCCCTCAGATCCGGCATGCTATTCTCCCTTATTAGTTCCGTTTGCTCTTCCTGTGGACACTTCAGGGGCCTCATGAGAGTCTGCATCTCCACCATGTAATCTTTGAATGGCTCTCCCCACCTCTGTTTCCGCATCCTCACCTCCTGCAGCAGCTTCTCAAAATATCCTCTTGGCAAGAAATACGCTTGGAAGCTGCTGGAGAAGTCTTTCCACGTCTTCCATTGCCGATTGTTGGCCACGAACCACATCAGTGCCCGCCCCTTCAGGAGCTCCGGCATCGCTCTTGGGATCAGGTCCGTATCCAGCCCGTACGTCTCGGCGGACCACTCGACCTGCTCCAAGAACTCGAGAGGCTTCGTCGTTCCGTCGAACCAAAATGACCACTCTCTCACCTGCTTGGCCTCCTTAGCGTAGTCCAGGGGTGCCGGCCGTGGGCCTTGTGGCTCATGGAACCCCCTTTCCGGGTCTCGGCTTCTGTCTCGGCTTGCCTGTCGATGCCAGCTGGGTGTCGGAGTGACCGACCGCTCGGGCACCGCCAGGCTCGCGATGAGCTCCTGCTGAAACTCAGCCGGGGACTTCCATAGCGCCGCCGCCGCCTTCCCTTGAGGTAGAGCGAGTTGCTCATACGTGGCCGGCTTGTCGTCAGCCCGAGGCATCGGCGACGTTCTGCTCGCCCGACATTCCCAGACCTCCAGTAGATCCGCATACTCTGGCTCTCCGCCGTGTTCTCTAACCCACTCTTTGAACGCCTTCCTCATCTCGTCTAGCGTCCCCTCTAATCGTACGCCAACCGCCTGAGCGCATTGCACCAGATCCTCTTTCCTCAAATTGTGGATCCATTGTCCTTTTCCCATCGTGCCCTTTGATCTATCAGACCACCTTTCCTTACGTTTTTTACTTGTTTTGGTCGTGAGGCCCC